CCTGGGGCCGTGGGGGTGCCTTGGACCGAGGCCCAGCGCTCTGTGAGGCTTCTGGCTCCCCCAGCCTGCGCTAGCCGTGGGGCTCCTCGTCCCGGGGCGCCTAGAGGGTTTCGGTAGGGGAGCTGGGCAAATTGGATGCTAGGGCGTACCCCCAGGCACAGTCATTCCTCCTGATGAAGGCGAACGCTTCTTCCTGGGTTTTGAAATTTCCCCCCTCCAGAAGCAGATCCACCAAGCATCTGATCATCTAAATGGAAGTTGCACAATTTCACTCTTGTTTGTGCAAAGCTCACCGCATGAAGTGGGCTTGGTGGGTTGCAATACTGTCTCTTAGATGTTGCTCTAGCTATTTTAAGAAACTTGTTAAATTAAACTTTGAAGAGCTCTCCTTTGCTCTTCCTTCCTGGTGTATCTCTAAGCCTGGAGGTGCAGACATGGCAGAATCGAGGAGGTGAGAAATGATAGATGGGTGATGCTGGAAGTGATGCATGGCATTTCAGCAGGCAGTCCCTTCTCTCCTATTTGTACTTGCTACAAATGAAAAAGAACACTATCCTTTTATGATATATCTGAATCTTTTCCTAGGTCTGTTATTGTAACTAGCTGTTAATCAGTTAAAAAAAAAAAAGGTGCTCTGCAAGTACTTCAGTTTTAACTCTAGGTAAAACCCTCAGCCTATGGCGATGAACTGCACGTGGGCTGGTTGCTAGATGTGGTTTGTTTTTCTGCGATCTCTAATTTACAGTGATCTGTCACTGTGGTGGATTTCATTTAAAGGGAATGACAAGAATTTGTGTTTTTATATGGAAAGAAGTCTGTGACTAATTAAAATCCTCTTTTTTTTAATAAGGAATTCGGTGCACAGAGCAATTAAATGAGTTGTAGTTCTCCCTTTAGTGGTGAACGAGTCCTCTAAGAGTCCTAGCTCAGACTTGGTGGAGGAATTTTATTTCTCTTTTTTTTTTTCCCGTCTTCAGCCACCTGAAAGCTCTGTATTGTGCATTTCCCCCTCTGTATATTGGTGCTTGCTGAGACTTTTAAGGGAGGGTTGAGTCAGCACCTGGGGTCAGAGCTGTCTGTTTGCTGGATGCCAACAGGCAGGGGCACATCAGGAGCTGCCCAGGTACCCATGCACCTCTGTTACTGGCTCCAAATTCTCCTTCTGAATACATATCTTGTTCTACCTGATGCTAGCAGCCCTATTCCAGTTACCTTAGTGGCCCGTGTTGTGGATAAAGTTTGCTGTTTGATTTGGAAGCAGGTCTGAGCAGCGGATCTCTGTGGCTCTGAGAGGTGAACCCAGAAATGTGTGACAGCCCCTCTCTGAAGGCCCACAGGTTTGGGCTGCATTTGCAAAAATTCACCTCTTCCAAAAAATGTAACCCCTCAACCCCCACTGTAGTGTATGAACAGGTAAAACTGGGCTTTGCAGAGCCTGGTGGGGTTTGCAGCCCTCTTGCTTCTGCTTGCCTGAAGGTCCACCTTAAATGTCCCAACGCAAGTATGGCATCTGGCTGTGCCCCGGTGTAGTCTTACACCAGCCCGCCCTGGTGTGCTCCTGGCTGGCTTCAGCCATACAAAAATAGATGGGATCCACTACCTAAGATGTCATTGTAACGTTTGCTTGTCGGAGGTGAAACTGAAGCTCTTGTCTTTGACACTGAACGGCAATTAAGTGCCTGGGTTGCCTTTTAAAGGTAATTTGTTGCCCACGTTTGTGGGGAGGGGAGTGAGATGCTTGGGTTTTGCTTTGGTTTTGCCGCTTCAGCATTAAGTTGTGGCCGTGGGTGTTTTGCTTCAGTTCACAGCTCTAATTTGAGGGTTGGTTTTAATATCTGTTTTGTCTGTAGCATTGTTCTACCCATATGAAGCTACGCTATAAAAATAAAAAAGTCACAGGGATTTTATTTTCTTTTGATTAACTTCAAAGTTGTGATGTTTTGACATTGTATTGAAACTGTCAAGACATAATGTGTTTAGAAACAAGCTTAGAGCTGATGACATGGCAGCATATGATACTCATTTTGTTAGAAATGAATGTGCCAGTAGTGCTAATTTCTTCCATAGTTGGATTTAAGGGATACTATCAATTCATGCTTGTCTCAGCATTGACTTTTTTTAAGATGAGGTTTAATGTTGGGTGTTTATTTCCCCCCCCACGCAGTGTTTTGTTAGTAAGAAGTCGTTGTCAAACACCTCTGTACCACAAGCTCTGAAAGTCCCGAGTGTGTCTTACCAGTTCCCTAGTTATGTTTCTTCCTAAGCTATGGAGAAAAATAACACACAAGGAATAAAATCATAAGTAATGACAGACCTGGTGTGGTTTTGTTGGCTGTTTTATACTATGGTGGGGAACACAAAGAAAGAAGGCTTTCAAAATGGTAATCAGTGCCTTTTGTTTTTATCATCTTTAAATTAAAACTCTTAATCCTCTTCTGCAGGCATCAGTCCTTTGGATTTGATCCTTGAGTACTACACATCATGAGCAACTACAGTGTGTCTTTGGTCGGCCCGGCTCCTTGGGGTTTCAGGCTTCAGGGGGGCAAGGATTTCAACATGCCTCTGTCCATCTCTCGGGTAAGTGCCTTTGACTCTCTGCCTGCTTGCAGGTATCTGTTATGCTGCAGCCAACCCGCAACCTTCAGCCATAAGTATGTAAAGTTGTTAATTACAGATGCTGGGGCTCAACTTGCCCTGTGGCATGGAGGGAGGGAAGCTGGGAAAATAAGTCGTCTTTATTGTCTGAAGACTCCAACAAAATTGTCTTAGGAAGAACGTGTTCATTTGAAATGGTTGTTTTATCTTCATTTATTTATGCAACAAACAAAAGAAACCACCTTTGAATTCCCCTCCCTGCTCCTACCCAGAAAACAGAGATGCAGAGGTTGGAGGCTGACAGGAAACAAGCAATTTTCTGCGCAGGGCTGAGCCCATGCAGTTCAAATGGGAGGCAGAGGGGAAAAATCACGCATGTTACCCTTGTTTATTCAGCTTCTTTTAACAGCTTGAGTATCTTCTGGTGTCTGTTCTTGCAAATCCCAATATTTACAATAAAAAGGCACTTCAATGACTGTGGTTGTAAATACCAGTCGGTCAATATGTGCCTGAGTGAACATGCCAGTTTCTCACGAGCGTTCTGTAGAGTATGTGCTCTGAGCTGGTATTCAAAGGATTTGAGGAACTAAGTCGAAACAAATGTGATCTTTGTACCCAGGCCCTAACTAGTTTCCTACTTTACAACCACATTTTCTGGGGAGGCTTGCCTTTCGATGCAGGCAAAGTTTCAAAGCCTTCCTCAGATGACTGAAGCACTTAACCTATAAAATACAGGGACAAACTTTGCAGTATTGGATTTATAGGGTCATTGGAAATCTCTGGGTGAAGAAACTGGCTTCTGATGGCTCTGTACCCTGGCACCTTTAAATTTATTTCTAGCATTGGAAGCATTTATGTACAAATGGCCCCTTCTCTGTCGACAGCTCTCCTCCCCTTCCTGCATATTCATAGAGTTTAGTGACAAAGATGAATTATTTTTTACACCTGTTGGGACTGCAGAATTGATACCGCCTTGGGAGACGGAACAGGTTTCTATTTGGGTTTATGCATCATGGCAATATTTTTAGCTAATCTCAACTAGCGATTCAGACTCTGCCAGTTCATTTAGACTTTGCTTAGCCTATCCACCTGTGGATTATGCTGATAAAGTTAAAATACAGCTTGGATCTGCAAAATTATTTTTCTATGGCTAAAATGGACTGGAGACCTGTAGAAATGCCTGTGTACAGATGAATACAGCTGATATCTGAGCCAAAAAGGGGTTGAGAAGCAATTTATTCCCAAATTAGGGGGATTTTCAAGCTGAACTGTAATTCAGTTTCTTGTTTAGTAGCTGGTTACTCCTACACTAATGAGAAATTTGAACTGGGCATGAAGATAGCAGTATCCTGTTTGATGGTAGAAGTGCTCTCATGACAAGAATTTGCAAAAACATAGGCTTTTGCCTGTCTAGGGTACTTGTGCTGATGGGCAATGGTAAAGATAGTATACAACTAGTTTTAGGAAAGGGTAGTACTTTTTTTGTAGGGGCCTCTGCAGTCCTGCTATAAGCAGGCTTCCCATCTAAAAGTAGCCTACTACTACTTTATTGCAGGAATTAAATATGCTGTTGTATGGAGTAGCCTAAGGGAATTGGCCTAAACAGCTATGTATAAAAGCCTCAATTATGGGATTCATAATGTCAAATGTCAGCACCCACAAGTGCAGAACATAATGAAAGAAGGTGTCCGGGGTGGTTTTAGGACTTTAATTTGTGCACAGGAGGGGGAAACACAATGTCCAATTCACCTATTATACCTCAGCACTGCTCCTCAGCTAAACTGTTTCTTATTTGCAGTTAAAAGTATGCAAATATTAGACTGCCTGGTGCTACTTTTTGGGTTTGTTTTGCTTTTTTTCCGTGTTGGATCAGGGGAGTGCTTATTTCTGGTATGCCAAGCCAGCCTTGGCCTGATAGCTGGAAGAATTCAACGCCGTGTTCCTGGTATGCGAGGACAGCGTGTACCATTTGCCCCCCGCCAGCCCTTCTTTTCCTGATGAAGCATAAATGCCTTCCTGTATCTAAAGACTGCTAATTAAATTATTTTAGTAAAACAGTAATGAGACAGCAGAATTGTGTTCTTTGGCAAGGAGGACTCCTCTGGTTTTGTTTTGTTTTTAATTTGTCCTCTAGACGCTGAGGATGAATCTGGCTCTGCTGCTGAGGGCTAATTTCCTGCTTTAGTTTAAAACCCTTGAAATAAAGTTCAAATAAAAGTACAGTTTATGAAGCACATAAAATATACTGGTTTCTGAAGCTGTTTATCTGAAGAGCTAATCTCTTTACTAATGACTTGAACAATTTAAGATCTTGTATGGTTCCATGGAGAATGCATTTAGTAAGTTACTTGGCTTTGTACAGAATGCAGTTTAAATGGGTGTCGTCCTTGTTGCCTCTGTAAGGTAAAACAAACCTGTTTTGTGTTCTTCAGTTGAAATTCTTAACGTCAGCTAAGGTGTAACAGGTTAACATTAATGCCGGGCAACCAGTAATGTTTTTTTTTTTTTTTGTAACCTGGTATATTATAAACTAGTTACAGCATCCATAAAAATAGCAACAATTATTGCAGGTTTATGTCAGTCACTTAATATTGTTCTCTTAGTGCTTTAAAGTTGCTACATACACATTTAATGATAAATAATGTATGTGATGTTGGGGACATAACCTTATAGCTATGTCATTATAGGAAATGACCAAGATTCAGACTTCTCCCCGTACGGAAGAGAAAGCTTAATGTCCACTCATTTATCTGTAATACATGTAGTCATGTGAAATGATGCTTGCCATAATGCAATTGTCTTCATATGAATGAATTGGTTGCTTCTGAATCTACACAGACCACTGAAAAGGCAGCTACTTAATAGGCATCTCCATCTTCACCTGGTAGATTTGAGAGGCATTGTCCCAACACTTTGAGTGTTGGCTACACCGCAAGAATTACATTATGGGTCCTCCTCCTTTCTCAGTTATTTCCAAACAAAATTTATTTTCAAGTTGCTGGATGTCCTGCTAAACACCAGCTGGGTCAAAAAAGGCTATCTGGCCAAAATAATTGACGCTTTTTAGTCATGATTGCTAGTAATAAGGGTTCTGCCATGGCTGATATCTATGTACATCTGTGGTCTTGGATAAATCCTACTGGTGCCAGGGTTATGTCCAGTTTGGGAATAACGTTGGTCTACACTGAGTAGATCTTTGCCTTCTAGATTTGATTGTGCAAGAGTTTGTTTCTTCTGCTGAATTAGGATAAAGAAATGCAGTTTTGGAGATAAAGTAATCCAAACACACTGCTAGGTAGGATTCCTAGAGTATCTATTGGGCGTACTACGTGTTACATTTACAGAATTTGGGGTTAATGCTATCTACAATATGGTCTGCTGTTTACATTGAACACAGTAGCTTTTAAAATAATACACACTTCCTTTAGAGTTTGAATTAACATTATATTTGCTTTACTTTTTTTGGCGTTTTGGTTAGTTACCAATGGTTAATTAATATAATCAGAATAAACTCAGTAAGCATGACTGTAGTGTTAGAATTGTCAACTGCTGTCCTCTGCAAATTGAAATAAATAGTGTTTGATATTGAAGATGTATTCGTTATGGTGTGATGACCTGTGAGAGGTTTAGATATTTGTTCTAAATGTGTGCTTGAAATGTTTTGTATAAAAACTTTTCTGTGGTACGATATCTAAACAGTGCTTGTATCTGTTTTATGGCAGTATTTACCACTAGAAACAAGGAAATTACTGAAGTGAAACTATAGTTTGAACAGTAAGCCTATGTGCAATATATACCTTCCCACTTAATGCGATTTCATAGGATATTTTCTGGTATTTAAAAGTTACTTTTTTGTTAAATCTTGGTATCAACTCCAGCCATCTTCCTTCGGAAGATGATCTGCTATTTGTCTTTCTCCTCTGGTAAGTATTAAATGGAATACGGTCTCCTTGAAATGCTTGACCTGATTGACAGCACTGTTTTTCTACTGCAACTTCTTTCAGTGTATTTCCCCCAGCTCCCCTCAGCTTGTTCCTGCTTCACTGCTTGCTTTGCCTCTGCAAAAAACCCAAACCAACTGAACAAACAACCTACCCATAGAAATAGCCCCTTCTTTTTTGCAGTTTTTCATTATTTCATTTGTTTCAAGTATATTTTTCGGTGCTGTTGCAAGCTTGTAGTTGATGGAAGACTCACGGTAATGACTCTGTCAGCAAGCGGTATGCCCAAGGAGTAGGTGGAAGAGCAGCCCACCTTGGGATGCATGTGCTGCACAGCAGCTGCTCAGTGTTCATCCCACATGAGCATAATGACATTTTTTGTGCTGGTATTGAGAGGTCACTGTCAGAGGAGTTGCCTCCTCTGCCTTCCCACTATCCTTTCTTCCTGCCCAGGTACATACATGGTTACTCAGCAAGTTGTCCGTGTGGATGGAGCATGTGTGATTGGGTTTGCAATAAGTAGAATGTAAAGGTTTGGCCTTTGGCCTTCTTAATATTTGGAAGAAAGCTATTTTGAAGTCATTAACGTCTGTGTAAAATAATGCTAATGAGAAGAGAATAAAGGAAGATGATGCTTTGAATGAACCTAGTGCACATCAGCTTTGATTGACTAGAGTCTGGCTGAGCCTTCTGCCCCCATGTTTGCATGAATTATTAAGCCATATGTGTCATTTCTAGTAAAATCAAGATTTGTGTCAGTGTGAAATATGTTATTGCAGTGGGGCATTGGGAAGTGGTCTTTCAAGCAGGCACGTGAAGTAGAGGGGAAACACTGGAACAACTGCTGGCCTGGCCAGTGATAATTGTGTCGGTAACTTTATGCTTCATCCTGGCAGCTACTGAGAACTATGAAGTAAGCCCTAGCTGGCACCTACTGGCATTGCTCTGCTGGTTTGATTTGCTACCGAATTGTGATGGTTTACACAAAATAGAGCTGAAGACGTATCCCACTACTGCAACTTCCTGGCACAGGCCAGAGAG